TGCAACTACTTAGAAATGCCAAGTTTTCCCCTTGGTATCCACTCCTGAGAACAAACTTTCTAGAGATATTTATCACATCAAAGGTTTGCCAATCTCCTTAAAAAATGTCTTTGTTGAGCTCCATTTTCAAGTGAAACCCAGGACAGCCTTGGATGTCTGCTATAACAAGGTCCTGTATGCAGAGCCTTTCCATTTCTGATTCACCTCAGGTGGAATTGATGACTCATACCATCTCCTGGTATGCCCTGCAGAGGACCTTAAGGTCCATGAATAATCATAGTTTAGAGGTCCCGGGCCCTAAGGAAGTCAGATTATCCTCCACCAGGGCTAGGGCCTTCTCAGTGATGGCTCCCACCGGGTGGAATGCTCTGTCCCATGAGACCAGGGTCCTGCAGGATTTAACTTCCTTCCGCGGGGCCTGTAAGACAGAGCTATTCCACCTGGCTTTCAATTTGAACTTGATCTGACCTTTTATTCTCCTTCCTTCCCTCCCCCTCGCCTTTTTATGAAGATTACCTGCTCTGGGATCCCACAGCTAATTCCCCCCTGTCTCCTTGCTGGCCCAAATAGGACTAATTTAGCCAGCGAGCCCTGGTGATCATCTAATGTTTATTGGATGGATTTTCCCCCTAAATTGATTTTTGAATTCTGAATTTATTGTTATTCACATTTTATACTGTATTTTATGCTGTTTTTGTTGCATCAATTAAGTGTTTTAAATTTGTTGTTAGCCTCCCTGAGCCTAGTTGTTTGAACCGGGAAGGGTGGGGTATAAATAAAATTATTATTATTATTATTATTATTATTATTATTTATTATTCTCCTTAAATAGAAACCTAAGAGATCACTTTCTGAAACCTTTGTTTGTAAAAGCAACACGCCAGAAGAAATAGTTAGGTTTCTTTTGTAAGGCAATAATGGCTTTTCAGAATGCCCCTCTATGCATCGACTGAAAAAATTAATGGGAAAAGGAATTAGATAAGATTGCTATAAGTTGTTTTGGTGATTGTAAGGTTTAATGTGAAATCAAGGTAAAATTAAGATTGTTGGTTTCTCTGGTATCTTCTCTCCCATACATTATGGATGTTGGCTTATATTATGGATGTCTGCTCTGTATTATTTTATTAATACCATTCCTACAAGTTTGTCATGGCCTTTGGCTAGTGCAATAAAGTTAGGAACTGTATGTGAAATGCTCATTGCTGCTCCAGTACTTGAGATTTTCTCACTCACACACCATTTCCCCATTACCTGACTCTTGTCTTTGAAGGGAGCCCGGCTTAGAGAACACTTACTAAGGGTAACGATATTAGAGAAGCAGGTAATGGTTGGTGTGAATGTATATATACACACCCAGACACGCACACACACGCGCGCGCGCACACACACACACACACACAGAGAGAGAATTACCTTTTAATCAGGGTGGTATATATGGATATTTTAACTATGATGTATATTTTAATCACTCTGGATTTTAAAAAAGATGCAGATTTCTTTTGTTGTTGTTGTTTTCTAAATAGGACAGAAGCCATTTGGGAATGAAGCAATATATATATATATATTAATGAATAAATAAAATATTCTAGATTGAATGGCTATCCTAAGTATCCTGGAAACTATGGCCTTCACTTATTAGTTTGGTTAATCAGATTCTTCAATCACAGAAATACATGTTTGCAACTAACTATACTTGGTCATCAGGGCTTAAGTGCTTAAACTCTTGAGTTTACTCTCCTTGGTAAGCCAGCAGTCCTTATTCTCTATTATGCCGATATCCTGTCTTCACTCACATTCCCACCCAAGCAACAAACATTTCTGGAGTCATCAAAAGATGACAAAAGGAATCCCATTCTCTTGTTTCCTACTTACCTGAAGAAGGCAGGGCCAAGAGGAGGCTCAGAAGTGTTTTCATCATTTTTGAAAGATCAGGAAACTCAGATATGGACCAGGCAAGAGAAATGATACAGGGAGAGCTTTTACTTGGAGATATTTATAGGCCAAGGATTCATGCTGTGGGCAACACCTGGGAACAAATGGTTCCATGAGGTTTGTGAGTGGGGGCTGTGTGTTTGCCAAGACGACGCAGAGCGACATAGTGAAATTCAAAGCTCGGTGTTGAAATTGGCTTAATTGTTTATTTTTTATTTCATTAGTTCTTGCCAGAAACCTCTAAGCATTTTTTTTTCTTTATTATTAACGTACAATTTAAATTGTAATGGCACCAAAGAAAGAATCGAGGGATTACAAAGGCAAGGGCAAAACCAAGATGCAACCTGCATAGAAACCCCGCGAAATATCCTCCTCCAAAGCATTTGTCTTCTGAGAAAGAGATAGGTCTGGATATCAGATAGTTCTTGGTAAAACTTGGTAAGACTGTAAGCAAAGGAGTAGCCCTCAGCTGAGAAGACTAGCCCTCAGCCTTCAGCATCTAAGAAAACCCTTAACCCATCCTGGCTTCATAGTGCCTTAAGGCAGTGTTCCCCAACCTTGGGTCTCCAGCTGTTTTCAGACTGCAATTCCCACCATCCCTGACCACTGGTCTTGCTAGCGAGGGATGATGGGAGTTGTAGTCCAAAAACAACTGGAGACCTAAGGTTGGGGAACACTGCCTTAAGGTACTGGCGGCTTCAACAAGGAAGACTGATTCTCCTGTCAGGGAAGTGGTAATCCTCCCATAGGGAAAAAGGGAAGATAAGTGGGCTCCTGTGGTTTCTTAATTAAATTTATTTTGGTGTGCAGTTCCTTCAGGAGGTGGCTAGAAGGCCAACTTAAAGCCTACTTTACTCCTCACAAGGTAGGCTTCCCCAGTAACATCAGAATTAGAAACCTTAGACTACATTTTCCACATACAATTTGTTTCCTCTGATGAAATTCATGGTTCCTAAAGTATAAATGAAAAAGGTGCCCTACCGAAATCCCCCTTTTTTTTATCTTGCCCCATTTTTATTCGCCTAATGCAATGGGTATAGAAACATACAATCTTTTCCTTTCAGACATTATTGTTTCATGCAGCAGGACTCCTAGAGGTCTTTCATTTTATTGGTATTCTTTTTTAAAAAAGGATGATGGGTTTCTATTTGAAATTAGGGTGCATTTACCATGAGCCATTGCCTTTGCCTTTGCTTTTGTTTTACGTGGTTTCTAACTTGGTTGGAAAGAGCATATTTTTTTTATCATCTTCCAGGCCCCAGGCCTATCAGCAGTTGCCAGTGGACTAGGGCACCGCCGAGGTACAGATGATTGTAATTCACAGGGGCGTGTTCCGTGTCAAGGGTCTGCAATTTTGTGTCAGCGTGGTGCCAGCCATATTCCAAAATTGAATGGACTCTCTCCTCAAAGGAATTCCCGGCATCACCCTCTTCTTCTATGATGTGTTGGTCACCGGGGCCACGCCGGGGGAGTTTGGGGACTGACTCTGCACCGCCCTGCACCATTTCCAGACTGCCGGCCTCAAGGTGAAGCGGGGCAATTGTCTGCTAGGAGTGCAACAGTTGGATTTTCTAGGATTTACGGTGGACACACATAGAGTCCACCCAACTGGGGACAAGGTGCAAGATATTCGCGACACCCCGGCAACTAAGTGTAAGGTGGAACTCCAGGCCTTCTTGGGACAATTGAACTTTGACCATGCCTTCCTACCCCACAAGGCAGCAGTAGTGGAGCCGCTACACAGACTGCTTGACAAGCGGGACCCTTGTTTGTGGGGGCAGTGCCAGGAGGCTGTGTTTCAAGCAGTCAAAGATCTGCTTGTCTCGAACTCAATCCTTGAGCACTTTGACGAGAGGTTGCAACTTCTGAATGAAAGAGAGGTGCCAGTAGCTTACTTTTCCCAGACCCTCTCCACTCCAGAGGAATTATTCGCAAATAGACAAAGAGGGCCTGGCGATAGTGAAGGGAGTAAAGAAATTTCACGATTTCTTGAATGGGCATGTTGGGATTTTGAATACGTGCAGCTTCACACAGAGTCAGTTAGGATTTGGCCGACAGCCAAGGCAATGTAAAGGAGTAAAATCTGCCTGGAGATATAGAGGCCTGGAGACAGTTCCAGGATTGGTCCAGCTCTCTCACGGGAATAATGATTTATGGCCTTCTGACTGGAATGTGTTAGTAGAGTGTAGAGCGTAAAGAGTTGAGTGCTAATGTAAGAGTCGTGTGCTGAGAGAGCTAGTTAAAGATCCATGCTCCTTTCTGTTCCTGTGAATAGTAACTTGAAGTCCAATGTATATATTAAACACCTATATGTAAGAAGTTACTTGTTCCTGTTTCATCTATCCTGCCTGCAACCAATTGCTTTCGTGAACTCTGCATATACTCTGCTAAGGTCTGGCTAAGGTCCTGCAACAGGTCATAAAGTAGCAAAACACCAATATGGCGCCCCTTTACCGTCGTGAAAGACCACAAGCCACTGCTTGGCCTATTTGCCCCCAAGAAGCAGACCCCTCAGGTATTGTCACCCCGCGTCCTCAGGTGGTCGATTTTCCTCACCAGCTACCAGTATACACTAGTCCACCAAGGGGACTGGGAGTACCGCCTTGCTGCATTTGACTGCCACTGCGATCAACTACGGTGGTGATTCCCAGGGGGGAAACAGCGAGGAGGGCTGGACAGAGGAATCCCAAGGGGATAGCAGAAGGGTGAGGCCCATAGAGCAGGAGAAGCGGGTAAGGGATGCAGAACTAGGAAGTCCAGAAGTGACCCCTGAGGCTGAGCAGCCACAAGAACCAGTTCCACGACTGCGTGGACCAGCAGCACCGGACCCAACAGCTGCATCACAGCCGGCAGCCCCAAAGCAAGAGCCAGAACCAAGAACCCCTACCGAGAGACACCCGAGACCACAACACATACGTAGGTGACCAGCATACTTCAACGACTAGGAATGCTAACCATCTGGGAGCAATGGGAACTTAGAGAGGAGGGATTTATGTACTAAGCTTGGGTCGTAGAACAACAGACAAGTAGGATCCTAGAATGAAACAACTGATTGGCTTGCAGGAAAAGACCAATCAGGCTCCAGGAGGGAAGCAGAATCAGCCAAACAGACAGGATTCATTGTGTAAATAATGTATATAATAGCCTGAGGTTTGGGGGGCAACTCAATCACTGTTTTACAAGCAGCAATAAAGAGCATGAAATCACTACCGGACTCCGAGTATATTTCAGCTGGGGGTGGGAGCCTTTGCACCCTGCAGCTCAGTAGCGCAAAAAAAGCTGTGACATTCTTGACTCAGTGAGGTGCTGGGGTGAAGCCACCTCCACTTCCTCAGTGAGAGTGGGGGCAGTTTCAGCCAGGCTCCTTGCGAGGCTGGGTCAAATGCAGCTTGGTGTTTAAAACTGTGATGTATCTCCAGATCCTAATGTGTGGCTGGTGATACATCACAATGTTGAAAATCTGATGTCACCAAACTCTATTCCTTACGGTCCAGTCAAAAACTGAAATGATACATTCAGAAGCTGCAGATGAGATAGAGCAGCCCATGGGCAGGGCTACATCCACAAAAAATTGTCATTGTAATAGTAAAGGTAAAGGGACCCTGACCATTAGGTCCAGTCATGACTGACTCAGGGATTGCGGCGCTCATCTCGCTTTATTTGCCGAGGAGCCGACGTACAGCTTCCGGGTCATGTGGCCAGCATGACTAAGCCACTTCTGCTGAACCAGAGCAGCTCACGAAAATGCTGTTTACCTTCCCCCCAGAGTGTTACCTTTTTATCTACTTGTACTTTGACGTGCTTTTGAACTGCTAGCTTGGCAGGAGCTGGGACCCAGCAACAGGAGCTCACCCTGGTAATTCAAAATCATCTGGGTGGACTATGAGTATGTGCAACATAGATTTTATGCCACTCTTTTCCATTTCAGATGTGGTGCCAAATGTGTGCACCAAACCAAAACACTGTCAAACAAGTATGTAACATCATCAAGCTCTTGATAACTTCCCTGCAATTAAAAACTTGACAGGGTTTTATTTTTCCCATAAAATATGAGAAAATTCTGAATGTATTTCCACCCACCCATAAACTTCTATTCTTGGACAGTCCCACCACAAGTGATGGCATGTCTGCCTCTAACTAAAACCTTTCCTAAACATTGGTGCTATCCAAAAGTAATTTGTACAATTGCTCTGCTATTCTACACCACCTATGTATTAACTTGATGTCCAAGGAACTATGGGAAGTTGCTAAGACATTGATAGATAGAGCAACATATTGATGCTGACGCAGTGCCCCTATGTTTCCTCTAACTCAGTATGGGTCTAACTTGGTTCAAAGAATCATATTTTTTTTCTGTCTTCCAGGCCCCAGATCAAAGTAACCAAGGTCCGGTACAGGTAGCAAAGCTGGACATAGCTCAGGGATATTGAACTGTGCCAGAGACACAGCAGTATGCACTGAATATTGGGCAATGGAGCCAGAGTCATTAGAGTGAGCTTTTATAATTGCCTTCTGGAATATTATTTCTCCTTGTTCCAATTGAACCAAGCTTGTTATTTGCACGTGCTTGAAATCCCATATTCAGTGCCAACAGCATTCAAATGTTCCACGTCTCTCTAACTAAACGTTGGTGATATCTGCGGTCACTGGGAACCTCTCCAAACAAAGCATCCATGCAGGTTTTCTTATCCTGATAGGAAAGAGAGGTAGAAGCACACAACATGTTTGCAAAAGGCCAGAGCTCTCAAGGAGAACTATTTCAGCGTCAAAATGTAACTACTATTCTAGTAACTATTCTTAAATGTTGTCAAACCAATTCTGCCATCATTTTACTAACACCTGCTTCTTTGGAAAGCAGTTCAGGACTGATTAAAGTACTGCCCATCTCTCCATCCATCTGTTCCCTATGCGTTTAAACTCTTCCTGAGTCACTGATGTCAATTTGGCATGACAGTTTTCAAGGTGAAGAAGGCAGATTTACTTCATGTTTGGTTACCATCAGATGCCATTTTGAATAAAAATGGCATGCCAAGCTTTTCCAAACTGCACTGATTACTTCATCGCAAAATTTGGCGTGATGGTTTCTGGAGAGAGGAGTCTGTTGTGGTGTACATTTGGAAACCATCAGATGCCATTATGAGTCGATATGTCAGACTGAATATTTCCAAACTGCACAGATTTAGACGCTTCTAAAGTTATCATCACACAATTTGATGTAATGGTACCAAACACTGATATGCGTGTTTTTGTTGTTGTAAGGTGTTGGATGCCACTTTGAGTCTCTCCCTGTTTCTTCCAATGCCCTCACCCTCCCTTATACTGTGAAGATGAAAAGATACTTTGAGTAATTTAATCTTTTATGTAATTTTGAACCCACAACTGAGTTAATACTGATATACAACTGAAACAATTGGGCATATGGCGCCTATGTGAGATATTTGCATGGTATTTACTCCCAAGTGTCCACAGATGATCTGCAGATTAAGAGTGACAAAAATATCTTTCTTCTTCTTCTTCTTCTTCTTCTTCTTCTTCTTCTTCTTCTTCTTCTTCTTCTTCTCCTCCTCCTCCTCCTCCTCCTCCTCCTCCTCCTCCTCCTTCTCCTTCTCCTTCTCCTCCTCCTCCTCCTCCTCCTTCTTCTTCTTCCGGATTTTGGGAGGGTTACTCAAGGGTACACAGTACCAGCACCTC